GTGCTTGCCTGATTTTGCCCATCCTCCTAGTCCTAGGAGGTCAGATGCCTCCACGTGGCAAAGAACCAATCAGAAGTTAGCTGGCGGGCTCTGGAGTGTAAAAGTGGTACGATGACAGCTGACCATAGAGGTTTGGAGAACTGTAGATAGAGGAGACAGGAAATAGTAAGGTGGGGTAGAGCTAGTCACTAGCTGACCATAGAGGTTTGGAGAACTGTAGATACAGGAGACAGGAAATAGTAAGGTGGGGTAGAGCTAGTCACTAGCTGACCATAGAGGTTTGGAGAACTGTAGATACAGGAGACAGGAAATAGTAAGGGGGGGGGGTTGGGGGAAGATCTAGGTCCTTTTGGATGGAGGAACTGAAGGGGTAGGAAGCAACTGGTGGCTGCTGTCTGCTCTCTGGTCTTTCAGGCTCTTACCCCAATATTTGACTCCTGATTTCTAAAAAACTGATTTATTTTTATTTTATGTGCATTGGTGTTTTGCCTGCAAGTATGTCCGTGTGAATGTGTGGGATCGCCTGGAGGTAGGGTTACAGGCAGTTGTAGGCTGCCATATGGGTGCTTGGAATTGAACCCAGGTCCTCTGGAAGAACAGCCAGTGCTCTTAACCACGGAACCCATCTCTCCAGCCCTAATTCCTGAATTTTTGTTGATAAAGATTGTGTTAGATTGACACTCCAAGACTCAAAGTCCCTCCTAACTACTTCCTGTGCTTTCTCCGTCCATTTTCCTGACTCTCTCTTATTCTCTATGGCTGCTTCCTGTCAACTAGTTGGGGGCTCTGCCTCTTGACCCAAGGTTCATTCTATTTAATCAACACCATCTGCAGTTCACAGCATGATCAAATATCCCGCAACACTCTTGTGCGTCGGGGACCAGGCCAAGCTCAGGCTTTCTCAGAGGCTAACGGAAGGAAAATGGATCCTCATCCTGTGTTCTTACTCAGGAGCGGACCTGATAAGGCTGAGGCCCTGAGGCTGGGGCCTGGGCCTTGAAAGAGTTAAGGTTTCAGTTCCTGGGAAGCTGTCTTTTCCCCCTTGAAGGATTGTGGTTGCCAGTCCTACGGTAGCTGTGACTTAGGTACCCTGTATTTTCTTTGCCACATTTGCTTGGTTTAGCTTTCTCCTGACTCTGTCCCATTCCCTGCCTGCAAATAGTATATAAGATGCTGTACTTATCAATAAACTTACCAGACCTCAGTCATCAGCTTACGTAATACTGTTTTCCCACCCAAGCTTTGCTTTTGTTTCCTTTACCCCTCATCCCCAATTCCCCCACCCCCAGCCCCACCCCCACCCCCAGCCCCACCCCCACCCCCAGCCCCACCCCTGACACCTTGCTTCTTGGGACCCTTGTTCCTTTGGGTTTGAGTCATTCATGATTGACTAGTTTTGTCTTTTTGGTTGTCAGTTTAGCCTTTAACAGTTGAGCCATCTCTCCAACCTGAGCACATCGTTTTAAACAGTCTCAAGGGATGTTGCAAGGTAGGAGGAATCTTCAGTTTCTGAAAACAAGAAGTCGTCCCAGGAAAGGATATTTCTACACAATCATGGCTGCCCTGGAACTTATTGTGTAGACCAGGCTAGCCTAGAATTCACAGAGATCCTCCTACCTCTGCCTCCCAGGGGCTGAGGTTAATGGCTTGCACCACCATGCTTGGCAACTTTGATAGCTAGACCTTGGTAGTCAGCCTTGGGGGGAGGAAGTGTCCAAATGCAAGAATAGACTGTGGTGGCTAGTTTTAGGAACGTAATCTAAGAGTTTTTTTTTTTTTTTTTTTTTAGCAAGGTAGAGGGTACTGGGAAGAAGGGCAAGGCCTGCCAGAGCCATATTTGCAGCATTTTGCAGTATTTGGGCCTGCCAGAGTCCTGTCACACTACACGAACAAGAGTCTGGGGGAAGAGTTCCTTACAAGGAGCAGGGATGACTCCAAAGCTGCTGTACCATCAAGGAAAAGCCCAGCTTATGCTGTGACCCCGGAGCCCTCCGCACAGCTCGTAGGCAGCTCAGCATCCCAAGAAGTTTAGCCGCAGTCGATGTCTCCTCCTTCAGGGAACCATGGAGTGGGCCAGGGCTGGCTAGCTGCCTTGAGAGGCATGCGTTATAGGTTTTTCAGGGTAGAGTCCATGGCGTCTGAGTCACTGTGTGACTTTCAGTTCCTGACAGAGGAACTCCCTCAGGCAGTGAAGCATTCAGAAGGCCTCCATCCCCACCCCACCCTGCATCTCTGCATCCCCTTGAAGTCAGTGAGTCTATAGAAGTGTTGTGGGGTTGTCACCAGAGGACCCTGCTCGTACGTGGGTTTAAACCAATAGAAAATCATTCTTAGTCCATCTGTGACTACAATGGGTACTCAGGGTGCCAGTGTACCTCTGTGCCTTTCTCAAGATGAGCTTTTAAACACAAAAATCACATTCTGGGTTGACATACTTCAGTTAACAAGAAAAGTGACTCAGAATCAGAATTACAGAAGCCAAAAAAGCAAGGTTAGTACAGTTAGAGACTTTCCCATACCTGTGGGCTTGGATGACTTAGGTCTTTGTTTCATTTCGCAGGCAGTGCTGACTTTTACAGTCTGAATAGTACTACTATCATGGAGTCAGTTATGCTAAGGTCTCTGGGTCTACTAAGGCCTGGGGGCACTGTTATAGAAATTTGGTGGAACAGTTAGTCTTAGATAATAAGTAACTACACTTGTATTCTTCCCGCCAAGTGCCATAATGATCTGTTTCTGATAAAGGTATAAAAAGTCTGATTGCTTGCAATAAATTTGTCTCAACCATCAGTCTTGTTGAGACCCCTCCAGTCCGACTTGGTTTCAGTTCCCACCAACCACAGGAAGAGATCCTGATCCAGCAAGTAAGTGCTAATCCCTCCCCCTAGTCCTTTAACTTCTGGGGAGGGGCCCTCATTTACCTCTTGAAGCTTAAGAGCCCTGGCCCCCTCCAGGAGGAGATTGCCTTTCTGTGCCACGCTGGGGGTAGAGTTAATGACAGAGGTAGCAACACCAGGCATTGTGCACATGGCCACTGACAGGGGGCGGAAGCTGTAACTGTGGGTGAAGCTGGGGAGCAGCCTCAAAGGCCTGTCCCTGGAGACTGACTTCTTAAAAGTCCCACAGCCTTCACAACAGTACCACAGACCCGGGAGCCGAGTGTTCAGAATGTGGGCGTAGGTGGTGGGGAGGCTACTTTTAAACTCGAACCGTATTTGGGTCACCATTAAATTCAAATTCACATTTGGCTCACAGTTTATTTTATTCATTCATTTTTAAAAAGATTGATTTATTGTGTATAGTGTTCTGCCTGCATGTCTGCCTGCAGGCCAGAAGAGGGCACCAGATCACATTGCAGATGGTTGTGAGCAACTATGTGGTTGCTGGGAATTGAACTCAGGACCTCTGGAAGAGCAGTCAGAGCTCTTAACCGCTGAACCATCTCTCCAGCCCCATTTATTTATTTTTGCTTTTCCCCCTTTTCTTTCCTATGAGCTGTGAACTCTAGGAGAGCCAAGGTCTTGTTGGCCTGAGTCACAATGTGGCTGATGGTCCAGCCTGGGGATAAATCTCAGGATGTTACCATGAAGGGGTCAGCAGCACTGCCCTACTCAAGTTCAGCCTGGGAGTGAGACCAAGACACTGGTCACTGAGTTAATGAGTTCAAATGGGCATGGGAGGCTGTTAATGCAGGCTCCTTGACCTTCACAAGAGCATGGTAAAGGTGTGGGTGAATAATGCCCCTTACAGACATTCAACCAATCAGCCTTAAGCACTCGAGGCACACCCACTAGAGAGTAGCCAATCATAATGATGTGGAGAGCACTAGAGAGGCCACACCCAGTTACTCAGATTGCCAAGTCCATCTCAGGGACTGAGGAGTAGAGAAGGTCTACAAACTTTGGGTTTTGTGATGAGTTATGGGCAGCAAAGGCGGAAAGTGTGTGTGTGTGTCTGTATCTGTGTGTGTATGTGTGTGTGTCTCTGTGTGTGTATGTGTATGTATATGTATGTATATGTGTATGTTCCTGTGTGTGTCTCTGCATGTGTGTCTCTGTGTGTCTGTGTGTGTGTGTGTATGTATGTGTGTGTATGTGTGTATCTCTGTGTGTCTGTGTGTATGTGTGTATCTGTGTGTGTATGTGTGTGTGTCTCTGTGTGTGTATGTGTATGTATGTATATGTGTATGTTCCTGTGTGTGTCTCTGCATGTGTGTCTCTGTGTGTCTGTGTGTGTGTATGTATGTGTGTGTATGTGTGTATCTCTGTGTGTCTGTGTGTATGTGTGTATTATGTGTGTGTATGTGTGTATCTGTGTGTGTGTGTATTATGTGTGTGTATGTGTGTACCTGTGTGTGTGTGTGTGTGTGAGAGAGAGAGAGAGAGAAGGAGGATTTAAAAGAAGGAAAATAATTGAGAGACAAGGAGGGGATTCCAGGAGGGATGGAGAGGGGATACGGGGTCAGCAAGACTATTCCATAGGAACATGGAGGTGTGGGGACCTCTCCCTGGCTTGGGATGGCATCATCAATGTCTGGTACCTCATTTTGGTTGGACCCAGATGCTTGCAAAGCTGTACCACTGAGCCATGCCTCCTGCCCCTCATTGGTGGATTTCAGGCCCGGGTTCTGATGCTGCTCAGTCATGCCCCTGCCCTGCCCCTCCCTGCTACTGCCAGGTCACATCTCCAGCCCCTCATGGACGTATTATAGACATGTTTACCACCGAGCTAAATCTTCAGCCTCTTCTTACTTTTTCTTTTGAGGTGGGGTCTCCTTACAAAGTTGCTCAGGCTGGCCTTCAACACATTCTGTAGTCCAGGTGGGTCTTGAACTTCCAACCCTCCTGACTCATTCTCCTGAGTATCTGAGATGGCAGGCCCACACCACTGGGCCTGACTCAGGCTCTGTCTTCTTAGAATCACAGATGCTCCTTCCTGACTCCTTTGCCCTCTGTGTATGGCTTTTATTCACCCAGAGCCTCCTCCTTAGGTCAGGATCCATGGCTACTGGGACCAAAATCAAGAACCTGGAATCCCAGGCAACATCAGGGCAACGGGCCCATCATCCTGTGTCGGAGACAATCATGCTGATTGCCTTGCCTCCCCCAGCGAAGGATTATCTATGTCTCTCCATCACCTCCTTCTGCTTCTGCATCCTGCTGGCGATCCCAGCCCTGGTGTTCTCCCTTAAGGTGGGTACCATTCCAGCTCCTGGTCACACCCCTTCCCTCTTTGCCCCCTTTGGTCCCTCCCACTCCTGGGTCCTGCTTAGCTCCACTCTCATTCAGGCCCCCTCTTGGTCACTTCTTCGTCCCTCGGGGACTGAGTCCCGCTCTTCTCTGGCTCCTCTCACCACTCCTGATAACGGACTTTCCGGGGAGGTACCTCCCTTCACCTCTTTCCTCTTGGAAACCATCTTGCCTGCTTGGCCTTCACTTCCACAGACCCGGGAAGCCAACAATGATGGGGACTGGCGGAGAGCACAGAGGAACTCCAGGCTGGCCTTGGCCTTCAGTGTCTCCAGCATCCTTGTGGGGTGCATTTTGATGGCCAGCTCTGTCACATTAATCTTTGAGACAGAGGAAGTGACATCATCTTGAAAGCCCACCTCACCCAGGGAGTTCTGTCTATTCTTGGAGCTTCTGACCTCGGACACCAGCCATTGTCTGTGCTGAGGAAGCCTTCAGCGTAGCAACAATGCTAAGAGCAATAAAGATTTTGAGGAGGTTCCTGCTTTCCTGTTCAGCTGCTGAATGTGTGGGTGCCTGCAGTTCTCATGGCTCCATGGGTCTATGTTTCTGGGTGCCGTGGGGCCCCTTCAGAGAGTGGACGCTCATCAATAACAGTGCCAGGCAGGCCTCTTTACTGATGACCATACAGGGAAGATGGGCATGGTGCCTGTTTAGCCATCTCTGCTGCTATGGTAACACTCCATGGCCAGAAGAGCCTTAAGGAAGAGCGGATTTGTTTCAGCCTGATGGTTCCAGAGAGAAAGGGGCTAGCATGTCGGGGGAGGCAGGGCAGAGAAGGACCAGGAAGCAAAGATCCTATTTTTGTCTTTCTCCAAGAAGCAGGGTGGGGGAGGGGCTGCTGGGATGAGGGTAGGTGAAGGAAGGGAGGAGAAAAGAAAGGAGAGAATAAGCTCGCCTCAGGGCCATGCTTGCTCCAGCAGCAGGTCTCCACTTTCTAAGGATTCCAAACACCCCAAAACAGCCCCGTGCACTGGGGACCACATGTTCAAATACGCGAGTCTAGGATGGGCTTTTCAAACCACCACTGTGGTGCATGACTGTAATCCCAGGACTTGGGTGCCAGAGGCAGGAGGATGGGAGTTTCAGGCCAGCCTGGGTTCAGGCCAGCAGGACTCTCTCAGAGAGTCAGTACAATGACTTGCATTTGTAATGCCAGCCCTAGCGAGGCTCAGATGGGGGATACTGAGAGAACTACAGTCTCAAAAAGAAGCAAAAACTTCAAACTACCACAACAGGTAGGGGTTCAAGTTCAGTGGTCAGGCACTTGCTTAGGCTGAGGAAGGCTCTGGGTTCAGTGTCCAGCACTGTATGGCAGTGCATGCCTTTAACCCAGCACTCAGGAAGCAAGAACAGAGTCTGGGCCAGCCTGGACTATGTACACGATTTCAGGTCAGCCAGTGCTATTCATGAAAACCTGTCTTGAAAGCAAAACAAGGGGGCTGGAGAGATGGCTCAGTGGTTAAGAGCATTGACAGCTCTTCCAGAGGTCCTGAGTTCAATTCCCAGCAACCACATGGTGACTCACAACTATCTATAATGGTATCTGATGCTCTCTTCTGCCATGCTGGTGTGCAGATAGAACACCAAATATATAACATAAGAAATCCTAAAACAAACAACCCCCCTTCCCCCAAAAAACCAAAACAACCACCACTACCAACAAGCCCACCACTACCAACAAGCCAGGCAGTGGTAGTACACATCTTTAATCCAAGCACTCAGGAGGCAGAAGCAGGTGGATCTCTGTGAGTTCGAGGCCAGCCCGGTCTGCAAAGTTGAGCTCCAGGACAGCAGGGCTACACAGTGAAACTCTGTCTTGAAAATCAACCTCCACCCCAAGCAAGACAAAACAATATCGAGAAGACACCAAGAAAGAATAACATGTGAAGTCACAAAATTGTTTGAGGTCATCCTGTCTAATGACCTCAGTGACAGGAGTACCCTCTGTTCTGTCCAGTGTTGAAGCCAATACCCAATGTGCAATGTAGGAGGTCAAGTTTTGATTTGACTGAATTAAAAATCAATTCAACTTGGGCTGGAGAGATGGCTCAGCCATTAAAGGCTAGGCTCACAACCAAAAATCAATTCAACATGCCCTTTGCTGTTAGGAGCTACCGTAGCTGGGCGGTGTTTCTGGACAGCGGTAACTATGAAAAATAGGATGAACTAGCTCCTACCGAGGGCTAACGGCTGAGCTGTGACCTACTTCACGACAGAGCCATAAAAATACCTGGGGCATAGTTCCCTTGGCACAGTGCTTCCCTGGTGTGCAGGAAACTCTGGATTCCACTGATAGCACCCCAGAAACTGGATGTGGTGGCCCACCCTACAGCTCCAGGGTCCTGCAGACGGAGGCAGGAGAAGCAGAAATTCAAGTTTGAGACCTCATCTAAAAGGAAGGGGAAAAATGAAAAGAAAATGTAAAAGGTTCCGACCTGAACACAAAGTGCAAAGTTGTGAGTCCGGAAGGGGCCTGGCTTATTCTGGGAGTTGAAATGAGTGGGAACCTTGGGCTGGAGAGATGGCTCAGTGGTTAAGACTTGCAGAGATCTCTCCAGCACCCATGGCAAGCGGCTCACATTAGCCTGTAACTCCAGCAGCAGGGATCTGACACACTCTCCTGGGCTCTGTGGACAGGTGCACCCATGCATACAGATCCCCACTCAGATACATATGGACTTAAAAACGAAATAAATCTTTAAAAAGTGGTTGAGTTACATTGGATGTAAAAGAACTTTTAACAAGTGTGTGTGTGTGGTTTAAATCTATGACAGGGTCTTGTGTAGCCCAGGCTGGCCCCTACCTTTCTACATAGCTGAGGATGACCTTACTTCTGATCCTCCTGCGTTCACTTCCTGAGTGTTGGGATTACAGGCGTGTGCCACCACGCCTGTGTTATATGGTTCTGGGAAATGAACCCAGGACTTCATGTGTTCTAGGTAAATACTCCACAACTAATCTACACCATGAGCCCCTAAATGAATGCATGAATAAATAAACAAGGTATACCTAAAGATTATGTTTATTTTATGTTGAGTGTCTTGCCTGCCTATATGTAATGGGCACCATGTGTGTGCCTGGTGCTGACGGAAGCCAGAAGAATACGCTGGCTCTCCTGGAACTGGGGAGTTATAGTGGTTGTGAATCACCATGTGGGTGCTGGGAACTGAATCCGGGTCCTCTGTTAGAGCAGCTGGTGCCATCACCTAGAAATTCACATTTCAGTAAGTTTATGTCTTGTGAGTTAGGTCCCAAACCCCAAAGTGTTGTACTATACAAGGATTGCTGGTGACGTTCTTCACCTGGAAAGCACCGCTTCCCTTGGCCTATACCTATGGTTACATATCAGAGCTCCTTAGTTCCTAGTGACATGTGCTTGCACGAATATCTGTAGGTGGTGTTTCCTGTCCCACGGTTACTCTCAAATAAACACACTGAGGCTTAATATTACTCATAAATACTCAGCCAATAGCTCAGGCTTATCACTAACTAGCTCTTACATTTTAAGTTAACCCATATTCCCTATTTACGCTCTGCCACATGGCGGTAACTTTATTAGTGTGGCATGTTCATCTCCTGCTCCCTCTGCATCTGACTGGCAATCCCAGACTCTGCCCTTCTTCTCCCCATCATTCTGTTTGGCTCTCCTACCTAATTTTGTCCTGCTCAGCTATTGGCCAGTCAACTTGTTTACTAAACCAGTCACAGCGGCATATATTCACAGTGGGCAGAAGGACTATTCCACAGCCCTCTGGCCCTTCTGCCCTCCTCACTCACTGTGGCTGCTCCCAGGCTGTTCTAGATTCCCTCCCCACCCTGCTCTTTATAACTCTTCTCTGAATACTCTTCTCTCTGTTCATAAGATAGCCCTGGCCCCCTTCTCCGTTCCCCACCTCAGAGGTAGCCATGGCATTTCTGGAATCCCCCAGATTCCTGGAGCTGTTCTGTCTTCCATATTTACACATTTACCTGTGTTTCAAATGCCCCATAGAGTGGTCCAGTCTGTGGTTTCACCGCGCCCGAGCTTACAGCACGTTAGTTGCTGTTATGTCAACCTAGCAGAATACCTGGCAGAGAAAGGGCTGGAAGGGTTTATTTCTGAGTTTCAGAGGGATCCCAGGCCATGGTGTGGCTCATGGAGGCAGGTACAGCTCTATCTGCAGCAGTAGGAGTGTGAGGCGCAGCTGGCCCATAGGCTCAGGCGAGGAAGCAAAGACCACAGGCAGTCTTCAAATTCTGCCCCTTCTCCTGGCGATTCCCGCTTCCTAAGTGCTCCACAGCCTTCAAGACAATGCCACAAGCTGAGGGCCAAGGAGTTGAAACATGAGCCTGTGGGGGACGTCAGAGTTAAATATATTATTTAAGATAAACATGGAGCTGGGCAGTGGCACACGCCTCTAACCCCAGCACTCAGACGCAGGCGGATGTCTGAGTTCAAGGCCATCCTGGTCTACAGAGCTACACAGAGAAACTCTATCCTGAAAAAAAAAATCCCAAATATTGTCTATAAATGTTTGTTTTCATTTAAATGGACTTGGTTATATTAAAAAAAACAAAACAAAAAAACAAGATACTCTAAGTCAATTTACAAAAAAAAATAAATAAATAAAAATAAAAGATAGACATGGGCTGGCACGTTGGCCCAGTGGAAAAGGTGCTTGTGGCCAAGGCTGATGGCCTTAGTTTGATCCCTGAACCATAAAGGGTGGGAAGAGAGAATCAACTCCCACAAGGTGTCCTCTGACTCCCACACCTGTGCCATGCCATGATCATACACACACGCACACATACACACACACACACACGCACACACACGCAATCGGAACTCAGTTTTGGATTTGAGTTGGAGTTACTAAGTAGCCTAGTTTAGCCTTGAACTTCGGATCCCGGGTGCTGGTGGAACTTGGGATCCTCTTTGCCTCAGCTTTCCAAGTGTTGGGATTTACAGGCATGTTCCACCAGCAATCTGTATCTGTGGATACAGAGACCTTTACATAAACAATGACAGGCAACAAAGGCCCTTTCCTGCTTCGGTGGCAACCCTGAGGCACGGCTCGTGTTCTGTGAGGGAGAGCAAGAAAAGGGGGCCCAGAGGCAGGCAGGGAAGGGCCACGTCACTAGGCCTTGGGGACCCTGCGAGGACTTGGATTTCAGCTGGAGAGGAGCAACCAGGACAGGGCTCTGAGCATGGGGTACTCTGGCTCCCTCTGGACACGTTTGAGGAATAGATCGTCGGGAGTGGGGGTGGGTTGGGTGGGTGGGGGCTGCTGGAACGTAGAGACACGAGGTGACGGAGGATGGACCAAGCTGGCAGCAGAGAAGGGAGACAAAGTTGCTTCTACATATGATGACCTTGAGACCCTAAAGTAAGGGCAGCCCAGCAATTCCCGGAGGAAATGGGGGGGTTCTGCCGGGGACCTTTCCAATCTGGGTGAAGGCGGGAGAGGAATGGAGTGCCAGTGTAGCAAGCTTGGCG